CCATTACACAAAGACTGCAGCTCATCTGGCAATATCTGCAGCCCTAGACTATCTTTACCTTTTCTGAGAAGAAACTCCCTTTGATTCACCCATCTGCCAGACAGCTGGAACCTTCAGGCTCCAGGACCATGCCAACAGAAATGCGAGTGGAAGACGTAAAGCCAGAACAAGGTGTCATCCTCTTGTTTGGTGCACAGGTCTCTGGAAAATATTCTAGTGGTCCTGGGGGTAAACAAGACAAGGCATCAGCCAGCAGCAAAGAAGGCCAACTGCATCCTGGGCTATATTAAAAGGATTACATCCAGTAGTTCCAGAGAAGTTATCATCTCCCTCTACTCAGTACTCACTAGACCACATCTGGAATAATGTCTAAAATTTTGGATCCCCAGTACAAGATAAATTGGAGTAAGCTCAGTGAAAAGCCATCAAAATGGTTAGGGAGAGTTGGAGTGCTTGTCCTGAGGGGAGAGATTGAGGGACCACAGCTTGTTAAGTCTGGAGAAGGAAAAAATTTGGACCTAAGAGAAGACTGCCAGTGCCTGTTGGGAGGCTGTTGAGATAGAGCTAGATTCTTCACACAGTGGTACGTGAAGGGAGGACAAAAGACAACAGATATGAGATAAAAAACAGGTTTTTACCAGATATTAAGAAACCCTATTTCTCTGTTAGGATAATCAGGTAGTGGAACAGGTTGCCTAGAAAGAGTGTGTCCCCATCACTGGAGGTTTTAAAGACCAAACTGGCTGAAGTCCCAAGCCACCTGCTCTGATCTCAGAGCCAATCCTACTCTGAGCAGCAAGTCAGACAGGATGACCATTTTAGATCCCATCCAAGCTGAATTATTTTGTGATTCCGTAATTCTAAATCATTATGTGTGCTGTTCAGAAAAACAGCTGCTGGAAAAGGCAACTTTAGTTACCTCTTAGGTGTTGGTTTTACCCTGTCTGACATTCTGCACTCAGAAGAATGCTGTGTTTAATTCTGAAAAATTTTAAGGCTAGTCTGAAATCATGTCTATCTTTCAAATTAATAAGCTCTATGGAATTGACTCTGGGGAAATGTAGAGACTTCTGGTGTTTCCATCTGATTTTTTTCTTCCAGCACCCTATCTCCCAATTCCGCACCTCAACCCTGTACTGCTGTACCGAGTAAATGCAAGGAATACAGCAGGAGGATGACCAAATATAACTCCAGTGCAACCACATAAAATCAGAGGCAAGAAATAATGTTGCAGAATGTTATAAAATAAGTATTTGTAAGCCAAGTAATTTAACTGGTATGTAAAAAGCTTTTTCTGCCTTCCTTGCATAAGACTAGCTTGTTTGTCATCACTTCAGGACTGATACTTTTTCTCAGAACAGAACAGAAGAGAATACTACATAAAGTCACACTATACATTATTGGTATTAATGGCTTAGCATCAAACTCACACTTTTAACAATGATAACTCTTTCTGCCTGAAACTTGCTATTGCTTCACCCTGCTGTCAGCACTCCTCCACAGAACATCTGTTTTTCATCCATTCTCGCTTTCCTCCAAATTCTGACTTTTCTCCCCACAGTTTCAGAGATCCCAAGCCTGCTCATTTTCTGACTGCTTTCTACATTCAGTGTTAGCCAGACTGTGACTGACAGGAGGAGAAAACATGTAAGGTCAGTCAACCTGCTGCAGAAAACATACACAATGGATGCAACAAATACACAGGCTTGGTAATATTCTTTGGTAATATGTTATGTGAACAACATGGGAGGTAAGGCATGCTCCAGCAAGTGATCTTAAGTAATACATTAATTGACATAAGAATGGAGACACTGCAGTTGAGTTGACTAGAACATGAGACCCGGCATCCAACATTCCTGCTGTCCGTGGATGTCACTTATAAATATATTTCTCCTAGAGGCAGGTGATTTTCAGGCTCTTCAAGGAACTACCTGAATGTCATTTGTTTGCCTTCTACCAGTCATGGGACATCACAGCTATGACAGATGGGACCAACAGCAGCTATTCGAGAGATCAGGTGCAAGGTAAATGCTTTTATATTGCTTAGCACTGAATGCAAAATGTTCATGGACTTCCAAGGAAATCCTAAGCCTTGCCAAATCTTGATCCACTGATATCAGTGTCATTTTTCCAATGGACTTAATGAAACTGGGAACTTTCCCTCTAGATTAATTAAAGTAATTGTTCCACTCTGTATCTTTGAAATATTTTCTCTATTTGAGGCACATTGTTGGGGCATTTGTTGCAATTCTGGAAAATCTTTATTCCTGCGAAGCACTTCTGATCAAGAACATTAAAACAGCGTCATAATGCATCTACCCAAGAAATATGTATTGCGGTGCATAACCTCTATGAAAGCAGACAGCATTTCACTGACAATTTCTAGATAACCCCTGGAATTTCTTGGCTATTTCTATTTTCCTTATAAAGTATAATTAAAAGAAAAAAATTATAAGTGGAATTCGCAGCATGAATTCCTGAACTAATTTCATCAATGTCAGTAGAATTAGAATGGAGATTAATTTAGTTCTGTGACTGTTGAGGAAAGAAGTTGGTAAAGTTATGGATTTTTTTGGTGTGCCTTTATTTTTCTGGTAATGGAGACAAAAATATATTCTGTTTGGACCCCTGTATTGCCTAAATAACATATTCAATCTGAAGTGTGATTTGCCCTTCATAATTTATTATTCTCTTCACTAATGTTCTTATTGCAACAGACAGTTGCAGCGTTGCCATTAGGATTTTGTCACCATTTTATGTAAACCAAACTGAAAGTTATTTTTATATCTTATGTATTCAATGTTTAAAAGATACTTCCTACATAAAAATGTAAGATCGTGGAAATTCTTTAGAAATATGGTCTTGGCCTTGTTTTTGCATGTTTTTCTATGCTATTGCATATTTTTTGGATATGTTACAATATTTCCAATCAGTCATTAATAATAGGTTTAGCAGTTGTTTCAACCTCCCTCGAAATTCTTGTTCTCATTTTCATTCCATAGAAGGCAATTTAGGGATCCACCTGCAAACACTTGCTATCCAACGCTGTGCTTGCTACCATTAAAAGTCATTGTGAAATCAAAGCAGCAAGTACTTTACCTAGTAATGGGAGTCTGGAGGACTGGAGCTGAGGTTGCAAATGTTCACCTAATTTTGGGAGGACATTCAGGCAACCATGTTTCACACTACAAGTATATACCATGTTCTATAAGGCCTCTCTTCTAGTTGTAACACTGCCTCTGACCAGTTGCATGTCATTGAACATGGGTCATACTGGGCCATGCTTCAGTTTATCTGGATTTGGGATAGAAACACAAACTATTCCTGGGTATTTGGGAACAAAATGCTTCATTAGATTATTTGAGAACTAGCTGTGCCAGTGACAGAAGTACACTGAGGTCTTCAGTAGAAATGTACCCTTCTGAAAAGTCTGTGAAAAGAAAAATTTTTAAAAAGATTTTACTCCACCCATCATTTCTATGTGGGCATCACACTTGTAACTCCCACTGTTTCTGTATCCAGTGGTTCCACTCTGGGGCCCATTACACTAAACATTAAAGAAGAACATCCTGATAGCATTAATATTTATGCTTCACTTTGTCCATGTAATTGTGTTTATATCTTGAGGCATCTAATTTCAGGTTTCCCACACAATCAATGGGGAACAAGGTGGATTCTTAATTTCTCACAGGTCATTATAAAGACAATATGTTCTTCTAATCTAAGCAGCTAATTTAGATGCTTAAAACTCAGCTGCGTCGAAAACTCTGCATTGAAGCAACTGAATACAAACAGAAGACAAACCTCAGGCATAAAGTTCAAAGTAGTAATTTGGGAAGGAATCATTACTAAAAGGAGCAATGACTATATAAATTTGGTATCTATGCTATCTTTTTGTCAGTGTTCTGTACTGTGCTCCAAGCTTTTGTTGGTGAGCCAGATGAGAGGGACCTCTCTGCATTTAAGTCTAATCCGAAGTCCAGGGTTTCACAATGTTTGCTTTCTCAAAGAATCAAAGACATTTTTCAAATTTAAGAAATCACAAATAAGAAATACATGATAATGGAAATGGCAGAGGCATGAAATATCTCTCCTGTTAAAGTAACAGAATGTTTTGAAAGTTTAGAGAAAATAGACATCCTGCCAAGGCATTTGACCACAATAATTTTCATTCTTCGTTTAAAATTCTAGTATTTTCTTCTCTGCTTCTTTTATCCAATAAAACTCCATTCAGGGTACTACCTGCTGAGACAACACAGATGCAATGATTTTTAGTTTAGTTAACCAACAACTAACTAAATTAAAAGGCTTTTATTTCACAGTTGCAAACTACCATTATAATAAAATTCCAAGACACAATGTACAGCATAAAATGGGTTTATCAAACATCATTTTCAAACCTCAGAATTGTTGGAAGCTATGACACAATTAATCTAAATTCAAATTTTAGGTCTACTAAATTTTATCAGTAATTTGAGTGCAACACGCTGATTTTTTTTTTGGTACTTTTATGCAAATAAATGCACACACATTTCCCCAAAACACAGAGGTCAATAAAAATGTTTGCAAAACACCTTTAAGAGTTCACATTTGTATTCTTTAGTGAGTGGCTTACAAATGTCTTTAAATTAAAAAAAAAGAATCAAAAAGCACTGCAGCACAGTGTATGAGCAAAGGATTTTATTGTACTTTGCGAAGAGTATCCTATTCCATCACTGCTTCTGCCATCCTAATATATTCAGATGAATGCAAAAAATGGGAACTAGTTCAAGAAGTATTAAAGAGTAAGTTTTATTGACATTTATTATGACACAGACAGAACATTAAGACATGCAATAAAATACCAGTCTGCCTGTGAATCTAAGTTTTATTTTTATTTGCAACCACACAAATCTTACTGCAGTGCTTTTTATACCTCTAATTTTGACTTTATATTTTTTGAACATAACTCTAAGCCAACTATACTAGGCTACTGGGGAAACCATACATGGTCAAACTGCTACCAAAAGTCTGCACCACATGGAAAGTTAGTCTGTATCCGTGTACTGTTGATAGACATACACAACAGCACTTCATCTGGTTAAATCTTTGCTCTCTGTTTGCACAAAGGAATTCTCCACCGCAAAGATTCACTAACATAGAACTTAGTTTAAAAGCACTTCTTTGACTTTTTCTGAAATAATGAGATCAAAAAGGAAGATCCGATCTTGACCTCTCAAACCTAGGAAAAATAAGTGTTATGGAAATATCACACATCATCTTTCTCTGACTGAAAATACTGTCTGGTTGACATTCAGAAGACTTCCTTATTTGCCTGGGATTTCCTGATGTATGGCAGCATGATCAGAGCTACTGTACAGGGACTACAACCAGGCTGCCATGCTTTAAGATGACCTGGGACATACTCACAGACCTGCATACGAACAGAAGTTGATGACTTTTGGAAAACACTGTACTGACTGCACACATGTGACAGTTTATCTCTGACTGCTCAGGTATCTCCAGGCTTGTATATATTCACTGCTTTTGGAACGTGAAGGAGGTCAACTCTTCTTCTGCACTTACCGTGGCTTCATTTGAAATCATCCATGTGTATATTTCTGGCAACTAATTTTGCGCCTTAGAATTGACAGAATACTACAAGTCGGAAGTGACTACCAAAGGTCATCTAGACCAACATTCTCTTCAAAGCAGAGCTAACTTCAAGTAAGTGCAAGTTACACAAGCTTGTCCAGCCATATTTTGAAAATGTCCAACATTAGAGACACACTGTCACTCTGAGCCCTATTCTACTGCACAGACACTCTGCCACAAACCTTCTCCTCTCAGTTGGAAATTCCCTTGTGACCATTATCTCTTAGTCTTTCACAAGGCATCTTCAGGGAGAGTCTAGCTTCATCTTCTCTACGACCCCCCTTTTAGGTAGTAGAAGCCTGCAATTCGATCCCACCTGGTCATCTCCTCTAGACTAAACAAACACCTGATTTCTCCTTGCTTGGTGTATGCTGCAGCCCTCAAACACTATAGTGCTCCTCCACTGAACTCCCCCCATTTTGTAACCACCTCTCCGACGATCAGAACCCAGACCTGCTCACAGTGTTTCAGACATGGTCTCAAAGGTGTTTAACAGATGGGAATAGTCACTTCTCTCAGCCTCCAAGATACTCTCTTGCTAATGCAGTTTTTTGTTGCTGCCAGGACTCACTTCTGACTCATGTTCAGCTCGTTGTCCACCGGGTCCTTTTCTACAGATCTGCTTTCTAGACAGCCAGCTCCAGCCTGTGCTCTTGCAGAGGGATACTGCATCACAGATGCAGGACTTAGCATTTGCCTTCGCTAAGTGTCCTGAGATTCCCATCAGCCCATTTTTGCAGCTTGCAAAGGTCCCTCTGAATGGCTGCCCTGCCTGCCAGCAAGTTACTCATGATCCAGGAATGAGGTGGCTGAGGATGCAACTGTGTCACATTGTTAGAGCTGGGAAGAAAGGGTTAAAAGCAGGAGACTGGCACGGAGGACTGTAAATGACTCAAGTGACCTTGCAGATGGGAATAACTCTTGATGAGCCTGTGTGAATACCAGCCCAGTGATCCTCTAACATGGATCGAGTTTAATGGTGCCTGCATCTCCACTTGTGTACCTCTGCCTGGGTGTTGCTTCAGGGATCCCCTGGTTAGCAAGGTAATGGAAATAAATTTACTCTTTGAATTCTAGCTGTGAGTTTGTGGTTATCCCAGCTGCCTGCCTCTATCAGTTCACACAGTTAGGTTGCTGGTTTAGACTCCCACAAATTATCTGGGTAGGGCAGGATATTCCCAACCTATGGTATGTACACAACTAGTAGTATAAAGGCAAGTTTTGAAAAGGCAACAGCACTACAGCAGTATAAATCCTGGCACAAAGCTAACATATGCTGGTGCTGTACTCAGGGAAGAAAAACAGTTTGGGAAGTCTTGATCTATCAATTCTTACAAGACAGTACATGTAAAGCCACATCAGACATTTAAACATCACCTATTTACGCTCTAATGTGACCGTGCAGAGATTAGCAAAAAGCATCCTAGAAACAAGATATGCTTCCTTGACCATTTTTTGCTTGTAATGGCAATTAACAGATGTGGACCCTTTTGTCACAATCATTTAACCCAAGGAAAGATTAGCTTCTTCAGATTCAGTGCAGTAGTTTAAAAGTTAACCACCTACAACCATTTTCCTCCTCACTGGTAGCCAAAGTCCTTCCCAGATGAGTTGGGTTAGCATGATGCCAAGCGAGGTCTTTGTCAGTCTTGGTGCAAGTTATCTTGAAGCACAACCAGGCAAGCCTCACCAGCCTCTGCTATGCTGCAGAGGCAAGAGTTGTAATAAACAGTTGGGAATGGTAGCATCCAAACTTTCATTTGACTTGCATAAAGGGAGATTGGGAAAAGGGAAGGAAAGGTCTAACAATTAACTTGTTTCAAATCAAATTTCTTCAGCCAGGGAGGCAAATTCCTGAAAAAAATTTACGTGTAGATTTATGGGCACATGAGCACTGCTGAGACTACGGACTCAATTCTAGTCTTAAGGAAATCCAGCAATCCAAAGACCACTGTAAATGTCCTTTTTGTGCTGACAAAGCTCAGTTACTGCCGCTTGGCATCATTTGGTAACAACCCTCATGGGAAAGTCTTCACTGGATACATAGTGGAGTTGGGGAAAAGATGAATGGGTGGAATCCAGAAACAAGACTCCTTTTGTGGACTTGGCTACTCAGTCTCTGCAATGACTTTCTGGAATCTGAAACTCTCCTCTGGGCTCTGGAACCTGGCGGCACAAAGGCTTTGAAGATGCTGTTTAGCAAGACCAAAGACTTCCATAATCTTTTTACTAACCCACACTCTCATGGGTGGCACTTGTTCCTTTTTTCTGACATTTTTTACTTCTTTTAAGTTTGGTAAAAAGGTAAGAAAGAGGGGAATTGAATCAGCATTCAACAGGAGTCTAGGACAGCTAGGAAGGACTTCAGACAGTCAAGTTAAAAGGTCAAGCTGTTGAATGTAGCTCTGCAGCTTACCAAATATAAAAAGGCATCAGTAATAACTTACTTAATCTGTCACTGTAAAATGACCAGTGAAAAAGAATTATCTTAAAACCTAGTGATTTTAAAAGAATGCTAAAATTAGAGCTAGCAGGAAACTTTTGGATGGAAAGCTTTTCATAGCACAACACTGCTGTGGATTTGTTGAAAACTGGACACTAAAAATGGATATATTCTCTTAACACTTCAGATGTGTATACTGAGACATTCCACAGCCAGTAAATGAAGAAGACGAACCAGGACATATATACTCCTGTACCCACATTTCTGAAGTCTCATTTCCATAACTCATTGTTTATTTGGAGAAACTCAAGCCAATCTAGAAGGTTTCTTTGATTAAAATTTTCTTGAATTTTTAAGTGGTACCACAATATAGACAAAATGAGTCCAGAAAGTCAGTAGTGTGGTGCTATAACATCATTAGTTGGTCCAGACACAAAGATTTGGATTTCTATCTCTCACATGCTAAACAAATACACAGATGGCAAATATATATCGCCATCTTTTCTTTCTTGGGAATGAAACAAGGAGCTTTTTTTCCTACAGTCTTTTTACACATAAAATATTGATTCAAATTTATTTGGTAAAGTCTTCATTCCTTCTGACAGCTTTCAGTCAAATGAGAGCTGATGTTAGGCCATGGAGAATCTACTCACACATTTGCCTCCTGTCTTGCCTCCCTTGCACAAATAGATCCAAATTTGTCTAATTATCCTGCACTCCTCTTCATTGAACATGGTTGTTCTTTTGTACTGTCCCTTCTTTTTGCAAAATCAGATTTGTTTGGTTTTTTTCTTCAGGTTGCTGCAACTTGAACTAATCCTAACTCCCTAGATTTCTTTCTTTTTACTATAGCGATAGTGAAATCTGTCACTATCCTTATAATACAGTCCAGAGATTTGGGAAGAACTAAAAAAAATATATATAACCTTGATAATCATGTGTTGTTTTTTGAAATGTGAATGAACAGAATTTAGAAACTGCTAGTCTGGGCCTTCTGCAATTCAGCTGAGCATGTCTAAATTGTTTATACATATTTCACATTTCTGAGGCTTTCTTCCCTACTATACAAACCAGATCAACTGTATGAACCAGGTCATTCTCCAAAGTCTGGAGAGTATAAGACAGTAGATTCAGAGATGTGCCAACAAATGGTATGTGCATGTACCAACTATTTCCGTGTGGGTTCTGAGAAAGGACACTTTTGTAAGAAACTATTCTTTACTGTTAATCAAACCAGAATGTTTCATTCCTGAAAGGAATGAACTCAGCCCATTCCAAATAGCAAACTCCTGTTACTCTGCAATGGCCACTTATGATTCTTAGAAATCTGAAGGACTGAATCAACAGAAAACAATACCTGCTGGGGTAATTTTTTCTCCACAATTTTTCCCATCTCCTTGTTTCTGCATGTAGTATTGTGACTGCTGAACAGATGTGACCCGTAAGTGTGCTACTAACAATGTTGTATTTGGCTTTGACAGTGGTTTTACGCAGAGAGTGTTTGCAGAGGCAAGCCGTGCTCTTACTGAGAGCACGCATCGCCTGAAAGCACTTGGCTCGCTGACAGACCAGCTTTTGTGGATTTTTCTGTAGAGATTTGGGATGTTATCATCCCTCGGTTATCTACACTTGTAGTCGCAAGTGGAGTGACCATGCACTCCAGTCGAAGCCTCCCTGGTTGACAAGGCAGCATCTCGGACTGAACATGTCGCCGCTCTCTACGACTACCTGAAAGGAGGTTGGAATGAGCTGGGGGCCAGTCTCGTCTAGCGTGCCTATAGTGAGAGAACGGGAGGAAATGGCCTCAAGCTGAGAGGGGGTAGATTCATATAAGGTACTAGAAAAAATTTTTTTCACTGTTAGGGGGTCAGGCACTGGAATAACTTGCCCAGGGAAGTGGTGGAGTCGCCATCCCTCGAGGTGTCTAAGAGGCACCTGGATCTGGCGCTGGGTGATACGGTTTCGTGGTTTAGGGGTTACAGTGGTGGTACTGGGTGAAGGGTTGGGCTGGGCGATCTTCAAGGTCTGTTCGAAAAGTGATGATTCCATGCCGCCAGGACAGCATTCCGCCCAACACAAATACGGTGTTAGGCTGCAAACTGGGGGCGCAGGGGTGCAGCTACACCTGCGACAGCATCACCCGTCAGACCTCTGCGCGGGCAGGCAGGAGCAGCGACCCTCCGCTCCCGGCTCCCACCCCGCACCCCTCGGCTCGGGGCTGAGGGCTCCCACCTCCTTCCGCCGGGGGCGGGGCGGCCCCACGGCGCAGGGGCGGTGCCGGTCACGCGGGCGCGCGGCGGCCCCGCCCCGGCTCCGGCAGCGGCGGCGGCGGGGGCGCGCGGCGGGTGCACCTGGCGCCCTCCTCGGGGCTCCGCGTCGCCGGGACAACCGGGAGCGCCGCCGCCGCGCCTCTGCCATGGTGAGGAGCCCCGGCACGGCCCCGCCGCCGGGCCCTGGCGGGGCTGGCCCGGCCGCTCGGGCGACCCGGGGCGGGGAGCGAGCGCCGGCCGGGCCGTGCGGGGCGGCCCCGGGGCCGTGCGGGCGGCGCCACCGGAGGGGAGGGAGGGTGGTGGCCGGGGGAACGCGGGGCGCGGGCACCGTATGGGTGCGGATGCGGCGCTGGGCGTGCGGGCCGGAGCGGGGCTGTGCCCACCCCCGCTGTGGCGGTGGGAAAGCAGGGTGTCTGCCTGTCTGCCTGCCTGTCAGTCAGTCAGTCAGTCAGTCAGTCAGTCAGTCAGTCAGTCAGTCAGTCCGAGGCAGGTGGGGCCGCGCTGTCCCCCGCTGTGGCAGTGGTGAGGTGTGACGGGCGCCTTCGCCTCCTCCCAGTGCAGCGCCGGAGCAGCCATGGCAGGGCTCTGCCTGGTGTGCGGAGCGGGTCAGGTGTGGCGCGGCGTGTTGCCCCCCCCCCGGATAGCACGGGAGGGATGATGTGTGTTCATGTGGGTGTGCGAAGCGGCTGGGCAGTGATGGAGGTGTGTCGTGCCCCTTGTGAAGTAGGGAGGGAGCGAAGGCGTGTGTCGGTGCACAGGGCAGGGGCGGGATGTCACGGTGTGGATGCGCAGGGTTTGGGCGCTGAGCTATGTGCTTATACATGTGCCTTGAGCCAGGGTGTGGCCTGGGATGTGTGTATGTAGCAGATACACAGTAGGACACGAGCGTAATGTTATGCCTCTGTCAGCGCGTGTGCGTCTGCTGCGATTTGGGCTTCGGATATGTGTGTGTTTGTGTTGTAGCAGGGATGTGACATTGTGTGCAGGGCCATGACATGGCATCGTGTGCGTGTGTAGTTGTGTCTGCACGCTGCTGTCTGGCATGGGCTTGTGCCTGCGTGTATATAGAGTGAATATTGGGTGTGGCATAATCTGTGGATATTTTTAAAGGCATGTATGTTGTGGGTGTGGCAAGGATTATCTGTACTTTTATATGTACGTAGCAGATAGAGGGTATGGTATTCTGTGTGTATGGAGTAGCAGTGGCTCGTATGTGTGAGTGTGCATAGCTGTGATGTTTTGATATGTGTGCACAGATGCATTTATGACAGATTTGTGGTACGTGTGTTGTGGGCACAAGGTTTGTTGCACCTGTATCTAGGGATGGCGTG